TGACGATAACTCCGTTGTTATCAGCACAAAACAATTACTGCGACATATCATCTGTAAGAGAAAAAAAAGTTATTTGTAACTAGGTCATAGTGAGCTATGACCTACATTTGAAAATCTAAAGTTGGTGCTGATATCTCAAATTCTAGAAGAGTTGGTATAAATTTCATATTTTTTTCGAAATCACTTCGAAAAACTGCCATGAGAATGTGGAATTACTATTTGAATATTTTCATAAATAAAGAAGTTATGAAGGAGACATGAAAATGATCAAAATCTGTTTTTTGCGTATAAAACAAAAACGAATAGATTTTATCAAAATATTTTTTCACATTATAGTTGGCCTTGACAAACTCCACATTTGGTGTCATTTAACCGACCTAGTATCTCTCACCGTAAAAAAGATACCCATGGTGAGCATGGTAAGTGGGACACTTCAGATTCGTAATCAGGACGCCCAATTCACTAACTATCCATATTTTTCCTGGAAAATTTTCAGTTTTAAGAATTTAAATTTTGTCGCACTTCTCACGGAAGCACCCCCGTATCTCACGTAATTGACCTTATCTTTAGACTTGCCCTTCCTCCTGCAAATTTCAGAACCCTACCTCAATAATTATGTGAGATATGGGGGTGCTCCCATGAGAAATGAGACAAAATTTAACTTTTCATAACTAAAAATTGTCTAGGAAAACTTTGAATAGTTAGTGGTTATTTTCAACCTATTTTGACTCCTTATATCATATTCCGGAAATTGGGGTGGTTGATCATAGAGTGCATTTTTGGTATATCTCTCGCTTCAGAAAATTTCAGGATCCCTACCAACGATCACGTAAGATAAATAAGATACAGGGGTGTTTCCATTAGAAGTGGGTCACACTGTATATATACTTGTCTCGAAAACTGTGATAAATCTGTGGACGTGAATTAGGCAGTCTTATCTCAGAATTTGAAGGCCAGATGGACGGTTTAAAAATGTAGGTTCCTGGATGCTTAAAATGAGAAAGTTGGTGCTATGTATCTATTTTCACAACATACGACATGTTCTAAAACTCTTCTCATATGTGGCCTACGTAAATCACCCTGTATGTCATGATAGGTTCATGATCAATATCAAATATTTTTGAACCAAGAAGATACACAAGCTGTATTAGGGTAATTTTTTAAGTTGTGTACAAATCGCAGACCGCTTTCGGCAAATAAGCCATCATCAAATAGTGCTATATACCTGCAAGTAAGAAATGTTCTATATGAAATATTAATGAGAAAGTTGTTAAATTTGCCAAAAACTCTACGATTTGATAATGAATAAAATATTCACACGAAATACTAAATTCGTCATTGGATCGATATTTTATTTGCGTAGCGCGATGCAAAAATTCCCACGATGCCCAATTCCCACCATATGCTCACCTTCATGTCGACGATTACGAAGACTGCCGAATAAGAGTGCAACGTTGCCAGGTCATGAGGAAATTTCAGAAAACACAAGATTCCCACCACGCCTACATTGCATAGATTTCCACGATGCTCAATTACTACGATTCCCAATTCCCACAATGCCCACCTTCCGTGGATTCCCACCATGCCCACTTTTCATACATTCCTACGATTCCAAATTCCTAGGATGCCCAATTCACACCATTTACACCTTCCTCTAGGATTCCAATCATGCCCACCCTCCTTGCCAAGGCAACCAGATGACGAATGATCACGTCACACACCAATTTATGACGTCACTATGACGTACTTTCTATGACGTGATAATCACATCATCGTTTCGACGTCGAGTGAACGTCATTTGGATGGGTAAAAAAATACGCCAGTTTCATGACGTTGCAGGGATCGACGTCCTGTCAACGTCCATTTTTCCCAGACCATCTCAAAACCATGGATACTTATATATTTATCATGTGAAACAGAAGTATAACTCATGAAAGCGAATCAACATGCATGCAAGTTATTTCATTCTAATTATTAATAAACCCGAAAAGAAGTATAAACACTTTTTTCTAAAAAACTTTGACACTGTATATCTCGAAAACCAGCAATAAGCAATGTATATATAAAAATGATTGTTCAGGTATACCTATATTCTATATTGAAACCGTTACTCTTATGACGTTGCAGTGACGTATCTATGACGTCTAAAAATCACGTCGGTGTGACGTACCAATTTGGTGAGCTTCGTCATTTAGAAAATTTTTCAATAATTTACTATTCAGATTATTGTTGGGTGACAAAAAATGCATCAATATACATTATTCAACAAAGTGAAGCCATATATTCGCCAACATCCTTTCCATTGCTATCAAACTATTCTTTGTTTGCTTACATCTCGCCGACACAAACTACATTATTTTTTATACAAATACGAGTAACTGATTGCATTCTGATGGAGATGCGTACTGAAGGATGGCGCTGCTGAATAGGCGATTGAATGAACATGACACCAAGCAGACGCAACAATGCATAATCGATATTATATAATGTCATCAGAGGCTAGTGGTGTTAATCACATCATGTTGAAGGAATCTTTTTTACGTATCATCGCCAAATTCAATCGTCATTTTGACGTCATTATGACGTCAGTCGGACGTCAAAGTTTGGTGAGTGAATGACGTCAATACGACGTGAGTAATATGACGTCATTTGGCTGTGACTTAATCACGTTATTATCACGTCAATGCGACGTCAACTACTGACGTCACCTTGGATTCAAGTGACGTAAAAAAAACGTCATTGGAACGTCATCTGCCACCCAGGCAACCGGGGTGGATTTCCACCATACCCACTCTTCATCCACGATGACCAATTTCTACGATGTCCAAGTCCCACCATGCTCACCTTTATGAGTTTTTCGAGCACTCTTCAAGTATGTAACTGCGAACTACAACATTTACAAATGCACAGAGTCTTCAACAATGATCAAATATCACGTGATCATTTTTGATGCGGCATCTCTTTTCCACTCACGTTAAAGAGATACAATCATTGTTGAAGACCCGTTAGTTCGCGGTCAGATACTTGGAAAGTGCTCGAAAAATCCAACCTAGTTAATACGGATTTGCAAACGCATATACGGGGGTGTATCTAAATAAATAGCATAAATTCAAGGAGTGTTTCCTTGTGACATTCTAGCAAATGAAGTTGATTAATTGATTTCATTAATAACCCTCCTGTATAATAAGCTTTCATGGTGCCAGAATTCAGTATGGATGGAGACTGAAAAAACACCGAAATTAAAATGAGAATTAGTCTAATTGGGGTTAACACCCTCAGTAAATTGAAATTTGGAGTCAAATCGAATTTTTATTGTTTCCTCAAAAACTAAGCTAGATACAAAAATCACACAAAGGATAAGAAAGTTGTTATCACGATAGTTCAATCTAATAAAGATATGGAACTCAGAAAAACTGGTGGGGTACAATGACATAAATACATATCGATGAATTTACCCACTGTGACGCCACTGGAAATATTATTTCGAATCTAATTGCACTAGAAGAAGCTCTATATCACTATTAACGAAACCACAATGTTATATTGGAATTTATGAAAAGACAATTGAGAAATGAATAAAAAAAGCGAGAAAAGGATTTTTCATGGAAATATTAATGCCCTCTGTATCTCGAAAACGAAGCAAGTTAGGACACATGTTTATATGAACTTTATTTCCTGAAATATCAGAAGGTATCACCCCTTGAAATTTTTCTGTAATATTTATAGATACACCCTCTGTATACGTTGGTGGCTTAGCGATCCCATCAATTGTGCATTGAAATTTGTTGCCGCTGTGTAGCACTTCTGAGTCAATAATAATTTTTTTCTGCAACCAACACAAAAGTCGTCCATTTTGATACCAAAATTAGCTCTTAAATCGACGTTTCTATTACTGACACAAAAATAGGTATGTTTTGCTAGGCAACATATTTAGTTCCTAGGAGCTAGAGTTGAATTTTAGTTCCTAGTAGCTAAAGTTGAACTTTAGCTCCTAGGAACTGAAAAGGATCTACTGGACGTCATCAAGAATAAACAACATTGTGACGGTTGGTTATTTGGGTTGAGACGCATACCTGATTTGTTTTCGATTTCAGCAGATTTGGCATTTCATACCCATGCTGGAGATATAAATACACCTTATTATAGTTTAGTATTGGAATTATAAACATATCAGTTAAGTATTTTTGTTTTGATCATGGAAGCCTTGAAGATTCAAAATACTTGCTTGATCTGTATTTCATTCGTTATTCTCGGGATGGATAACTTGTTTTTGAATAATCACGGCAAGCAATAGTTTTATTGTCTCAAACAACGATATTGTTTAGCTACATTTGATTATCAAGTCAAACACAGTGTAGTATTTATTTATTTATTCTCATATGAATACATTTACAAAGACATACATATTCTAATATTATAAAAATTCTAAAATTTTATCTACTTCACATAGGTTATTGACCTGTGTGTGAATTAGATAATTATTATAAACTTTTTGTAAAAAATTTTCAAGTTCTTAAAAATATTTATATTAAATAATAATAAAATTAAATTATTTGAAGAGATTATCAATTTCTTTTGCATTATCCAAAAACCAAATTTTAATTTTTTTTTTGAATGTTACAATATTCAAACGTCTCAATTTTGATGGAACTCTGTTAAAAATTTTTGACCCAATAAAACTACTATGGTTTTGCATGATTTTGAGATTATGTTTTTCAAGTTGAACATTATGTAGAGGAATAAATAATCACTATTATCATTGTTGATATGCTCCGCCTCGCAAATGCAAAATTCGCTTGTCAAACAAAGTGTCACTTTTGATCCTAATAAAACAATCTACTATTAATCGCCGGTCGAATATGTATATTAGGGCAAACAGGTGATCGCCTGGACACCTCGACAATGAAAAGATATTATATTTCAATAGTTAGCCGTCATTTCTCAAGTAGACCGATCGTTGTGGTTATCTGGGTATTTTTACTATTATTTTTATTCTACAGGTTCGGCCCAAGATTCCCGCCAATGAACCAAGCCTACGACCGCGACCTCATCACCGCGGCCAAGAAAGTCGCCCAAGAAGTAGGCCTGCCCATCCACGAGGGCGTCTACACCTGCCTGGGCGGCCCCAACTTCGAGACCGTCTCCGAGCTGCGCATGCTCAAGATGCTCGGGGCAGACACTGTGGGAATGTCCACGGTGCACGAGGTCATCACTGCCCGCCACTGCGACATGACGGTGTTTGCGTTCAGTTTGATCACGAACGAATGCATCACCGATTACGATTGTCAGGAGAATCCCAACCACGAAGAGGTTATTGACGTGGGGAAGATGCGAGAGGAGGTTCTCAAGAACTTTGTGCAACGTGTCGTGAAACACATCGGTGGCAAATGAAACATCGATAATTTATAATTGCAATGCAATTGTGGCTAAAAGATTTAATGAAACTTGGGAAACATATGTATATATACTTGCCTGGAATTGTATTTGAACAACATATTGTTTAATATCACATGAAAATTGTTCTTTTTATAATAAAAATTATCGAATGATCTAAGTAGTTTCAATGAAGAAATTTGCTCATGACTCAGATTGTGATCTTATAGTGTTCGCGTTCAGTTTGATTACGAACGAATGCATGACCGATAACGAATGTCAGGAGAATTCCAATCACGAAGAGGTTATATGACGTGGGAGAAACATTATTCAAGAACAAATTGAAATTGTACTGTTTATCATAAAAATTATCGAATGATCTGAGTATGGTTGATTTAATACCATGGTAAGCGACTCCTCTATTGATATATTTCGTGCCTCAAAATCCATAAAAAAAAAGTTGAAGGAACTTCTTGTATCGATGTATGTTGCTCTCCCCTGATGAATGTGATGAATTGATCAAGTTTTGCATACGTTCGTATGGCTTTCTTTTTCTCTCTTCTCCTTTTTTTCCTCTCCTATTGGATTAGTTCTTATTTGTATCATTGATGAATTACACGAACTTATTACTTTGTTTGCATGTGTATTTTTGCTATCATTTCTCTTTCCTAATTGATTTTTGTATCTTTTATTTTTTGCACAATTATTATAACTGCATTTATAACTCACAAAATGTTCACCCATAATAGATATTTATTTTCTGTTTATTATTAGGATTCTAGATTTAGGTACGCATATGTATGTATTATTTTGTAATATGTGCCTCCTTGTCATTGGGCTTGCGCCTGTTAGGGGGCCTGCACATAAATAAATAAATAAATAAATAAATAGTTTAATCGATGTAAATTGCACATTGCGATATGACAGTGTTCAGGTTCAGTTTGATGACGAACGTATGCATAATATTGAAGTCAATGTAAACAATGTTTACATTGAGTTTATTGATGCATAACTGATTACGAATGTCAGGAGAATCTCAACCACGTAGAGGTCAAACATAGCGATGGTGAATAGACCATATTAATATTAGGTATTTATTGTAGCGCGATTGTGGCCCAAAGATGTTATGAAACAGATGTAGACCCTTGCACCAAGAATTGTATTTGACAACATTATTTACTATCAGAAAAAAAATCACAATATTAATTAGGTGAAAACTATCGAATGATTTGAGTAGAGTTTTGATGATGGAAATTGCGCAAATGAAGGGGTGAGAAGCAGCGAATATCTTGAGTGCAGTTTTTTGGCAAATAGACCTGAGCCTTGTTTCGAGTTCCCAAAGTGTCAGTCTATTAAGTGCTTATTACACCCAAGCCTAATTTTTTCAGTTTATGCCACGATTTCTCGACGAAGGTAAAAAGTTGTTGAACTAAACTACTGTAATAATTGGAAGCAGAACGTGTCACTGAGGTTATTGTTTTACTCCTCAAGATTTGTCTGATTTTGTTTATGTAAACGTATTTTTGTGTATATTTGGACTGTAATTCGAGTCGATTATCGCTAAATAGATGCGATGTTTATTGCTTCATTTCTTGTCACTTCAAAAGTCAAATTTCATGCAATGACAGCTCAGTCCAATATAGACGAGCATTACTTAAAAGGAAATCAGATGGCTACAAGCCGAAAAAATAAAAAATGTCGCTGTTATCTGTTATAACCCTAGAAAAAGTATAGTGAATAACTCGCACGAAATACTAATTTCCCACCCGTTTGATTTGCAAAATCCGCCTACGGCTCATGCTGCAAACATCATTCTCATGGGGGATGACAATATCATTCTGTGCTCGTTAGACAGTATACTATTCCCAAACTGCTACAATTCACTCTTCCCCCTGTATTTCAGGATTTCTTTAAAAACTGAACTTATGAAGCGAAACAATCAGAAGAAAATGAAAGGACTAATCTCTGATTATGAACGAAAATAACCAATTATAAGAAAAATTTGCCAATTCAATATTGAATTGCGAATTGGTACTGCATATTAATATGGGGTTATTTGAAACAGCCTTTTTTGATCCATGACTAATGGGACACTCTGTGATATATTTGTAGGTATTGTTGAAAATTTGTTATTGTATTGTGAATATTAGGATTTCATATTTATCAATAAATGTTCTTACTGTATATAACAAATCATTGAATAGACGACAGGAATTTTTAAAATCATCTGAACTTCAACTTTGCTTTGTCAACAAGATCTATTATCTTTGACAATAAAGTATAATTTGACTTGACTTAACTTGAAACCTTCATTATCTCCTAACAATCATTTGCATGGTGATACTTAGGCTGTTATGTTTCTTACCCTTTCAGATTTGAATTGTTTGGAGACGGATAATGAAGGCATGTCAACTATCCACCAAAATGAAACAGACACTCAGGAAACAGCTGTAACACATACTCTACGTTTTGTGGTGAAGATTATGAATAAACTGAGTATTTTCGATGTTATTATTTTTATAATTCCATCTTCTCTTGTGATATAACGGTGTTCGCGAATAATTTGATGATCAACGAGTGTCAACTAAACCCATTGCAATTTCATCAAAATTCATTCGATTCGGAAACTGAAACAACAAATTAATCGTGTAGTTTATGACTTTTGGTAACTACAGTATTATATTGTCTATTGCTGTTTACCTACCTATTCAATCAAGTTAATTTCCGATGGATTTCGATTCAACAATCATATATCTGACAACTGCATAGAACTTCCACTACAACTTGATTATTTGTTTTCTTCAGTTAAAAACTGTTTTCGGTTGAAATTCGATCTATTTGTTTCAACTCAAACAGTTCAGGTTGAAAATTGTTTGTGAATTGAATAAACTGGGCGTCAATTGAAACGTTAATAGTGTAATTTGTCATCAAGTTTAACTTCTCGTAATTTCTAAAATATTGAACCAATTTTGAATTGCCGCCCAGATACTGAATGCCTTTTTCATCGTCTTGCGAACCGTTCCTTACAACTTCTTCTAAATTGATCAGGACCCTTGATACAGGGTGAAACAATGTTTCTTGCATTTTGAAAAAAAATTGTTCGCCCCCCTTGTCGGAAGACCACGATGCTCATATTTTATTCAGGCATTTCATAAATAGCAACCATACCTCGGGACGTTTTCCAGTTTTTGCCAAAAACTACTGTGGTTTCCGAAAATTTTTTTTTTGCATTTTTTTAAATGGACTGATTAACTGTATCCTCAAAACGATGAATCAGTCAATCATTTATTGTCATGACTGACTTATTGAAAATGAGTTTGAGTATATCCTAATCGTCGTAACCTGAAATAATAATTATATGTACTGAATTATAGTTTATATCACTATTATAGTGATGTTACCTTATTATATTTTCCATTTAGACCCGATTTGAACGAGGCATCTTTAAATTTTTTAGGACTCGAATTACACTGACGTTTTCATGAAAATTGTCAATTTATATAACCTCTATGCATACCTACATTGTTTCAACAATACGTTGTTATAGAAGCAAGGTATCGTTGTCTGTTTTTGTTGATGAGATGTGTTGATTTACTGCTCACTAAGGTGGAAAACTTTCACCATAGACTGCGACGTAATAAATTATTGATTGTTTTTGAGTAACCTGGTATACATTTCTGCTTCAACGCTTTCCTGAAATGCATAAAAGCATCCATTTATGGAACTCCTCTAAAATTACCCCATTTAAAAAAAATGCAAAAAAATTTTTTTTATCGGAAACCACAGTAGTTTTTGGCAAAAACTCGAAAATATCCCGAGGTATGGTTGCTATGCATGAGATGCCCGAATAAAATATGAGCATCGTGGTCTTCCGACAAAATGGAGGGGCGGAGAAATTTTAATCAATATGCACGAAACTTTGTTTCACCCTGTATCACGGGTCCTGATCAATTTAGAAGAAGCTGTAAGGAACGGTTCGAAAGACGATGAAAAAGGCATTCAGAATCTGGGCGGCAATTCAAAATTGGTTCAATATTTTAGAAATTACGAGAAGTCGAACTTGATGCCAAATTTCACTATTAACGTTTCAATTGACGCCCAGTTTAGTATATTTTCCTTGTTGCAAAGTTGAACTCTGCGATTGAAGCCATCGCCACAAGTACCATTGGTTGATTTCTCAACGAAAAAAAAAAAAAAAAGATTGAAATGTATGTATAAGATGCAATTTATAAACATTTTAGTATAGCTACATTATCAATTCGCTTAACACCTAGGTACCTATAAAATAAAGAAAAAATACAGTTTCATATCTTTAACAGATTGCCTGCAGAAAGCACCATTCCTGAAACTCTTAAATAGACTAGTCGTGAATTTGAGTTTCATCTCAAATACACTTGCAATTGCAGCGCACACTGTAACAACACTTTCAGTCCTGGCATGAAAGAAGCGATTTGGGCGAAATCAGGACCGGACACCAGCTGCGTGTGCAAATTGATTCCCCCCGTATAATCGCTATTTTGGATCAGTTGGACCATTTGGTGCAGTGACGTCAACGTGTTCGGAGACAGCTGAAAATAATAAATTGTCCAATGATGAAAAAAGAAGGGCAAATTGTTCTAAATGTCATCCAGAAGACAGGCGAAAAAGAAGGTGGAATTTGTAACTTTATAGTCGAATATCTTAATAAATAATGTTTGTTCACATTTTCATCATCAAATTCGTGTTTTTCAGACAAAAATACGTAAGTACCAGAACAAAAATTTCGAAAAAAACCCATCGCATGATGAATGCAGTTTTACCATTTACTTCTTTTCGAGGCGTAGAGTGTGTTTTTACTACCAAGGTAGTTTTCGTTATTTTCTGGACCACTAGTCAATAATGATGTAACCATATCTATTTTAATTAACCTGATTTCAATGTTCTGTTGCGATATTCATATATAATACCACAAGTGATAATATTTTGCCGGAAATATTCGGTGATTGTTACGACAGCTTGTTGCCTAGTAATTTCGTGAATGACATTGTTATCAAAACTACGAGCCGTAGGCGAGTAGTTTTGGATCAATGTCATGAGCGAAATAAGGGCAGCAAGCTGGAGTATGTCAATCGACGAATATTTCCAGGAATAATAGTATCACGAGTTGTATTCGTATGACTATTTCATGATTGAATGAGACAATATACCGGGTGACACAGGGTATTGGGCCACCCCTGTAACTTCTGTCTTCGTCGTCGGATTTTTCTGAAATTCGGTACAGTTATATAAGCAATCATTTCAGATTTGATCACATTACCATCCAATATGGCGGACTTCCGGTATTTCTGGAAATGCCAGCAACTTTGTTTTTTCAAATGAAACACCCTGTATATTTTTACATATTCAAGTTCAACAGGTCGAAACAAGTGCAATCTTTATTTCAAATGTCATTTTTTCGAAAAAAATTAAATTAAAATTGTTTTTTCATTTCACGTCGTGGATAAATGAGATGTGGTCAAGACTATTTACAATGAGTCACACATAACAGAAGAACATAATTTTTTCTGAAAAATTATTTTTTGTGTCACTTATCCAGGAATCAATTCAGCCACATCACTTTTTGATCAAAAATTATTTTTTTTCAAATGGAACCCTTATGGGCCACCTACCCGTCTCTCTAGAACATACATTAAGGAACAAAATGACATATCATTTTTGTTTTTCGGTGCAGTAACAAATTGTATACATTCAAAAATCAACAACTAGTTTATGAATTTCCTTGCAGTTAAAATAATCTTTCAACTAGGTAGGCTGTGGAATGAATGACATTTGACATCAAGATTGCACTTGTTTTGACCTGTTGAACTTGAATATGTAAAAATATACAGAGTGTTCCATTTGAAAAAACAAAATTTCTGGCATTTCCAGAAAAACCGGAAGTCCGCCATATTGAATTGTAATGTGATCAAATCCGAAATAGTTGCTTATATAACTGTACCGAATTTCAGAAAAATCCGTTGACGAATGCAGAAGTTACAGGGGTGGCCCGATAACCTGTGTCACCCGGTATATAAGAAATAGGAAACATAATTTAAGTTTATTCCAACTCAAACTGCGAAGAAGAACATGATGATAGTAATGAAATACAGAATTCAATTTTTTAGAAATTAACTACTTACTTTTATTAATTCACAAAGTGGAATGTACAATTTTGATAAACAGTATTTTGTTTATTATCTTGGAGATGGTAGCTCTCAAAAGAGTGTATACATTTGCTATCCAATTCGAACAAAATAAATTGAATTTATGTGACATGAAATAATTAAAAAAAAAATTATTGTCGCCGACGGGCTTGAACCACCGACCTTCGTATCACCGCGCAACAACCCTATCAGTTGAGCCACATCATCTGGATATTATTGGTCACAATAACTTGAGTGACTGAATGAGATTACTTCAAATGGGAATTTGAATTCTAGTATTGTTGTCTGACCGTCAACAAATATGCAAACTTATTAAATTACACATGAAACGTCCAGCCAAGATGAAATTGTCTCGCCTTCCGTACAAAATGTCTCACTAACGCGAATTATGAGTAAATAAAATGAAGTAGTTACTTAGGTTATTGTCTCTTGTGTCAGATTTGAATACAAAGCAATCTTGACCAGACACGATGTCAAAATT